GGGAACCTTTACCTGTACCTTTTTAGCCTTTTTAAAAATGTTATTCTGTGATTAGAGAGTAGAAGGGTACAAATGTCATCTTCCTTTCACTTCCTGCATAATGACTTATAAAGCCATTATGCTGTGGCTCTAGGCAGTTATAGAAGGCAACAGAGCATCATCATTAAGGGCTTAAATCAACTTTTTTGTTTTTGGCCTCAGCAGGAAGGGCAGCGGAAGAGAGAAGCCAACTTTTGCAAGTTTGTTCTTTGCAGGCAAAATCTGCAAAGAATGGAAAAGACATTACAGTTTCATCCCAATTCAAAGCTGCTTACAGAAGTCAGATCTCTCTCAAAGCAAGAAAGTTCTTTGTAATGAAAAAGTGCCAGCAGTTGCAGCGAGCTCTTGGCCTGGTCATTGAAAAAAGCCAAAAGGCTTTTTGCAATGGAAGATCTCAGCATATGCAGCATATGATGAAAAAAAAAAAAAAATCCAGACCAAAGAATTCTAAGAATGCTCACCCGAGATAGATCTCAGAATACAATGTGTACCATAGAAACTGGATGAATCGATAGTATTCATGGAAAAGAAGGGATGAGAAGGATGGAAGTGGCCAAGTCTTGTAGGAATGGTAGTACCTGGAAGCCATCCCATAGAATTTGTGGGTTTCCTGCCTGAGTTTTTCTGGAGTTAAAATCAACTCTATTGTTAAATTAAATCAATGTACTGTATATGGTGGAGGTGAACCTTATAATCCGTGAGTGCTGAACAGGTACGCGCTTTGAATGCTTTGCGCATGCTATCCACGCTAATGCACGGCTTCTCCCCTGTGCACTCTGAGTGCAACTGCACCATCTGCTCATGTGCATGGCTTTCACACGTGCCCCCATCACTGCGCAAGCAAATACATGGAGCCTGGGTGGCGCAGTGGACGACGTGCACTGCAATTACTGCCAGTTCAAATCTCACCAGGGTCAAGGTTGACTCAGCCTTCCATCCTTTCGAGGTAGGTAAAATGAGGACCCGGATTGTGGGGGCAATAAGCTGACTTTGTATAAAAAAGAACACCTCTTAGGGGGGGCTGAAAGCCCTACTAAGCAGGTATATACAAAAGTATGAAGGCTATTGCTTAATGCATTGTAAGCCGCCCTGAGTCTCCGGAAAAGGGCGACATATAAATAAAACTAATAAATAAATAAATAAACAAACAAACAAACAAACAAACAAACAAACAAACAATACATCATCTGCGCATGCACACAATTCCCCCCATGTGCAGCACATGCAATAGCACCATATGCACATGCACACAGGTTTTGTGTGGCTTCCCCGTGTGCTGTGCGCACAATTGCACCATCTGCGCATGCATGCGGTATTCATGTGCACAATGCATGTGCATGAACGCTGCCTATGCATGCTTGTGCTGCACAAAAGTACTTTCATTCGCATGCACAAATGCGCGTGCATGCACAGGAGAGCTCCAAAGACTCGCTGGGTCCCCTGAATTGCATGCATGCGCATCAGAGGCCCGAACACCAGATGGGGTGCGCACGCATGCGCAGCTGCAGGTGAGTTGGGCAACAACTCACGTGCCTAGAAAGATGGCTCTTCGTGCCACCTTGGGCACGCGTGCCATAGGTTTCCAATCACGGGAATATGATATGAGCAAGTGTTCGTATAATTTGAACAGTAAAGGAACCAACATTTGTTTTTAACAAGAATATCTTATGTTGGGAAATAGTGAACTAGAACTAGAGAGAGTAAAAAAAAAATTCTTTACAGATATTTGTATGAATGAAAATGCCATTTGATCTGCTTTGATCTGCTCAAAATGTTCAAGGAATAGGAAATTCCTGAATATTGTCTCTGCGTTTGGAAAAGTGGTAGCCATCATTAAATTCAAAGCAGAGAAACCATATGGCAAGGATAAGGATAAAGTTTCTGTCAGATATTAAGAATCTCAAAGGTGGGGTTTTTTTTAAAGCACCTGTACTGATTTTTTAAGGAAAAGAAAAAAGAAAAATCCAGGAAGCTTCATCATTTATACTGGATATCTGATCAGTTATCAACTTCAGTTATAGGAACAGTTATAATTATAAGTTTAGTTCAGTTGTAGGATCAGCTGTACTTGAAGCAAAACATATTTTTCTTCCCCTTCCTCAAAAAATCAGTGTCAGGCCTGGAAGCCATCTTTTGCATTGGATCTTCAGGCCTGCCACATTTAGTGCTGTGAGGGGGAATTGTATGGAGCTGGGGAAATATATAGTTATAATAACATTCCTTTCTCTGGGAGTCAAGAACATCCTGCCCTGCACCTGGAGGGGTATGACTGAGAGGCATCTCCAGTTGGGACGGTGCATTGATTGCACTGTCCCAACTGTGTTGGACAAGTGGGTGCAGGTGGACTTGGGTGCAGGTGGACTTGGACTTTCTTTCGGGTGGGGAAAACCTGGAAGCTTTCAGATTCGGGTTTTCCCAGATGTGCCAATATGACATATCTAATAAAATGGAACTTTGAGGAACTTCTAGCCTCGGAGTCTTCTTTCGTTGGGGGTGTTACTTGGTTCCCTTACAATCAGTCCCGTTACCTTTTCAAAAAAACAAAAAAACAAAACTCCACCTTTGAGACAACTATGACCTGGATAACTGAGAATATTCATAGACATCGGAATATCAAGAGTTTTCTGTCTCATCTACATTCTAAAACCAATCACTTAGAATGATGAGAATAAGATAGAATATTCTTCCAGGCAAATATATCTAGCTACAGAATGTGATTCATATGCATGTATGAGTATTTATTCATTAATGTATCATTTCCCAAAAACAGTTTATATGCACCAAATAGGCCCTCAATGGCATCAAAGGAAAACACTACTTTATTTAATCTGGGAGGTATTGATAAAATATGTGAAACAAAAAAGTTGATTTCTTAAAGCGCCAATCATTTCTCTTTTTTAAAATAGGACAATATTTGTCTTAATAAGCGTGAATCCCAAAATGGATCAAACATTTATTTGATGAGCATTGTAGTTAGTACATGCATTCATTGTACTTTTTAAACTTATTTTGCTGTACTTCGTATGGTAATCCTGGAGGATCTATTGTGCTTCTCTATTCATACTTAGATTTTGCAATGCAAAACAAAACAAAAACAGCATAATTGCTTCATCTACAATTCTGTTTTCTTAATTGTTCCTTTCATGTTTCAAGAACAAAGATTCGAAGGAGAAGAAGCACAATCTTCAGATCTCCTTCTGTCCTGCTGTGTAAAAGTACCAGGCTTTGTTACAGATGCTTCTCAGTTGTTGATGCATTGCAGCAAATGACAGGATGTATTGTCCTCACAAGGGAATGAGATGCCTCTCGAACAGGGGTCCCAAACCCCTGTTCTGTGTACTGGCACTGGCCTGTGGCATGCCAGAAACTGGCATGCCACATAAGCAAGTGAACCCAGTGGTGAAATGTAAAATTTGTTACTACCGGTTCTGTGGGCGTGGCTTGCTGGGGGGGGTGTAATGTGACTGGGTGGGCATGGCCAATTTTTTTTTTACTTTTTTAAACCCTTTTTTTTACAACCTATTCGGGTGAATAGGTTATATGAAAATGCTTTTGAAAGGTTAAAAAAAGGCTCTGACGATCACAACTGTGGCGCGCTCCATGCATGCCATAAATTTTGGGCTCAATTGTGGTTGTAAGTGGAGGAGTACCTGGAAACAGATGAGTCACTAGGATATCCTTTAATTTTTTTTCCATTCCTCTTCTTCCACACGATACCCAGGTTGAAACGCTGGTCTGGAGAAGTACTGAGATGATTGAGAGAATACAAGAGACTATAGGACTGTGATGGCGAACCTATGGCACGCATGCCAGGTGGCACACAGCACCCTCTCTGTGGGCATGTGAGGCGTCTCCCAAGTTGAGCTCTGCCACGCATGCGAGCGCACCTCCTGCTGGCCAGCTGGTCATCGGGTCTCTGCTACAGATGCGTGGGGAATGTGGGGCATGGGGGCATGCACACATGCACGGGGGGTGGGACATGTGGGGGCTGGGTGTGCATGCATGGGGCGGGGTGTGTGCAGGGGGAGGCATGTGCCCATATGCAGGGGGTGGGTACATGTGGGGGGGCTGTGTGTGCATTACATTTGGGGGGGTTGGCCACATCCATTCATGTGCAGCACTTGCGCTTTGAGCACTCGATCCAGAAAAGATTCGCCATCACAGCTATAGGAGAAAGCGAAAATGCCCCGTACCAATTTTCTTTCTGAAAGGAGTAGGCTTTAGGGCAGTTCTTATCCTGCTTCCTTCAATGATCAAAGTGAGATAGAGAAAGAGTTAGATAGACAAACAGCTCTTTGTAAGGACTCCTTATATTCTAGAGATAACACCTGACTAATCTTGCAAAAACACAAGTCAGCTTGAAGAGCTGAAAGCCTGCTAAACAATCAAGAAAGTAAAGAAGTAAAACGCAGGGCAATTTTTTCTTCTTCTTTGGGACAAAGAATGCCTCAAATGTGACATTCTGTGGCATTGTGCCGCCTAATCTGGGGGCAGGCTGGAAAAAAAATCCTGTAGGGTAAAAAACAAAACAAAACGAAGAACGGTTCAGGAAAAAACTGTGGTGCTGCCTGATTGGCTGAATGCAGCCATAACATAATACAATGACATGAATATTCTGATAATATACTGATTTAGTAGCATCCAGTAGTTTAAGAAGCTGTAAGGAAACCAATCTTACCTCTTGTCTCTTAAGTGCAGTCATCCATTATTGTCTACAGCAGTCATGGCACACCCCCTCCGGAGGTCCCTTTTTGTCCTCTCAATCCACTTTTCCTCTAATGTGGCTAATTTGCGACAACAATAAAGTGTATTTAAGTAGTGAATGGGGGGGTATTGTAGATTTCTTTAGCAAGTGTGAAAAGAATAACAAGGGGAAAATGGCTTTCATGGGTTCCCAACTCAAAGAATCATGTCAGTAGTAGATTGGTAATTATTACAGGCAAGTGTCTTTTTTTTTTTTACGTTTCCATTTTATTTGCAGCATCCTTCAGAGAAGTGGAAAGTGGTACAAAGGTAGGACTATTTTTTAAAAAGTACAAGAAAAAGAAGACATAGAAGTTTTTTATGTATGGATTCTCTAAAAAGGGGTTTTCCCCTGGATTAAAAATGGGTTTTCCTCTGGAGAATAACTTTGATTCTTTCCTCACTATTCAAAATACATTTAGATCCCCTCCCCGCATCTTAAATTCTATCTTAATTAGTTTTCCCCCTGCTGCTGGATTTTGGTAACCTTTTTGCCATGAGGAGAAGGCATTTTTCAACATTATATATTGACAAAACAAGACCATTCAGTGAATTTGTTTTGTGACACAAATCTGGTCCCCGTTTTGTCTTAGGGTCTCATCTTTGTCCATTTGCCATTTCATCAGTTTGCGCTTCAGTGAAATGGGTGTTTTAAGAATGGCAGCCATGTTGTGATTAGACATCCTCATTGCAAGGACAATGCTGTAAGAAAAAATGTGCGATGTTGAAAAGTGGAAAAAATACACTCAGGACTTTTAAATCTTTCTTTATATTTAAATATATAAATACAAGTAATCCTTGATTTACAACCATTTATTTAGTGACCGTTCGAAGTTACAACGGCACTGAAAAAAAGTGACTTATGACTGGTTTTCACACTTATGGCCATTGCAGCATCCTCATGGTCATGTGATCAAAATTCAGATGCTTGGCAACTGACTCATTTTTATGACAGTTGCAGTGTCCTGAGGTCATGTGATCACAATTTGCAACATTATAGATCATAGATTCACTTAACAACTATGTTTCTCACTCAACAAGTCAGATTCACTTAACAACTATGTTAGTCATTTAACAAGTTAATTCACTTAACAGCTGAGGCAAGAAAGATCATAAAATGAGGACAAAGCTCACTTAGCATTATGCTTAGCGAAAGAAATTTGGGGCTCAATTCTGGTCATAAATCAAGGTCTACCTGTAACTACCGTATATAACTATATTTGGCTGTAGTAGAAACTGTTAAGATAACTCTCATATTGAAAAGCTTTCCTTTTGTCTCTTAAACTGTTATGCTTACCTAGCATATAAAATGGACTATAGTTAAATGCTCTAACAACACCACTTTAAAGGACAGATGTCTTAAGTTTAAATCTGGCTGACTTCTTTTTTTATTTGTCTGCAATCTCCTACCTCATTGCCTTTGAGTGCAATAAAATCCTATATTTATTACCTTGAGTGGCTGTTTTCCAAGTCTGCCTCACAATAGGAATATAGGTCTAAAGCTATTTTTTTCTACAGATCTGTGCAAACCTTCTGCCTTATATTTATCTAATGAATATTATTTTTAAAGCATCTAATTCATGTATAAACATCCAATTTATATTTTGATAAGCTGTTCCAAGTTTCTTTTATATGTACTTTTCATAAAGGAGATTATGTTACCTCATAAAAATCATACCTTCATAACATTCATTAGGGAGAAAATAGAAAAAGCTAAAGACTTAAGTTACTTCAGCAAAACTTAATCATTTCTTTCTGTTTATTTTAGCTGACTTAATGACCACAAAAGACAATTACAATTATGGTGTAGACTTAATCTCCATTTCTTCTCTTTAAAGTTGATGGTCAAGGCTACATTTTACTGTAAAATAATGTATCTGAAGCATAGGATGATAGCTTGTGGGGAATGTGTGGAGTGCCCCAGCTGTTTTGTATCATTGTTGGTTTTTTAAGTACAATGGTTTTAAAACTGGATAAAATTACAGTCAAAGGGAATGCATTTCCTACAGTGACATTCACTTTTGCCGTTGTCCTTTTCACATATGCACAAGAGCACACATAGCTGAAAAAAAGATTGGGAGTCAATGCACCATCTCTTCTATTGCCAACCTTGAACTTTTTGTAAAAGTCCCACTTACCTTAACTGGTAGTTGCTGCATCCCTATTGAGTTGGACAAGACACAAGACACCCTTATCTTGTGTCTTGTCCAACTATGCTATGCTTTTGTACAGAGTTTGTACATTTGCCAAGTGAGAAGGTTTCCGCTGTTTTATTATTGAAGGCTCTGAAGTCAACACCCAGAGGAGCAGTTGGGTTGATGTTAGTGCTGTTGATAATTTCTAAGATGCTCTACATTTCTTGCCATCACGCTTCTTATTATAAAAGTCTATGGAGCATATGTCAAATACTAGCAATAAAGAAAAGCCGGTTGCCTCAATCACCAAGTTGTAAACATTTTGAGAGAGAACAAGGTTGGCTTGTAAGGTTGTATGTGTGTGGATGAACACACACATATACACACTTGACAAATTCTCTCTCACCTAGTCTTTTGTTTAATAGATGCCCAGCAATGACTATCATTGTTTGCAAAATATTGTATCATAATTTTAAAAGCAGAATCTATATCTATCTATCTATCTATCTATCTATCTATCTATCTATCTATCTATCTATCTAACTAACTAACTAACTATTATGAACTATTTATCATCTGTCTACTTAAATACATCTTTTTTTTTGTCTGACCACAGACAAAATCTGGCATTTTATATAAAACAGATTCTTGCATGAGATCAGTGAAAAATAACAAAATGTATTCTATGATTTCTTTGCTGATGATCCAATTCTTGGTGATACAGTCTCAACTATGTATTGGATTAATCTCAACTATCTGACTCTTTAACTTTTCTTTACCAAGAGTGCATGGGAAGCAGTTCTGTCATAGCAGCAATATTTTACTTGGCATTCCAACTTCATTCGACTTGGGAAAAATCCATCAAAACTGGTTGGTGAGCTGAGTACCGTTGCAAACCTTGCCATAGTTTTGAGATTTTTGTTTGGATTATACGTGGCTATACTCTGACAAGAATCCTGCAGGCGAAACAGGATTTCATTATTTATAGGAGAGAGAGTTCTGGGTTGAATGGAGATGTTTTTCTGCTCAGTTGCCAGGCAGTAATAATAGCAAAGACATGTCCTGTCGTGGTCTAGGAGCCTCTGATTATCCAGTGTGGGAACCAGATTGAACTAGACAGTGTTTTGCTACTTGGGCTTCTAGGTGGTCAGATTTGGCAGGTATGAGTCTCTCTCTCTCTCTCTCTCTCTCCCTCCGTCTGTCTGTCTGTCTGTCTGTCTCTCTCTCTCTCTCTCTCTCTCTCTCTCCCTCTCTCTCTCTCTCTCTCTGTGTGTGTGTGTGTGTGTGTGTGTGTGATCACAATGCTGGGGATCACCCTTAATGCTTTACATAGCATGGTGCTAGGGTTACTTGAAGGACCACTAGTTTCCAGTAACTTCTGCCCACACTATCAGGTTTCGCAGGGAAGACATGCTCCAGGTCCCTTCTAAGAACAACACAGTGTTTTAAGATTTAGGAGGACATTCTTCTCTGTCACATCACATTGTCCTACAGAACAGCTACCTGTCTGAAGTTTGAATGAATCTGATCCTGTTTGATTCTTAGAAAGACTAAATGACCAACCCCTTACCACAGACTTTAGGGTTATGAAATTGTTTTCTGTGTTTTACTCTATGGGAATGGATGGCTTTTAACTTTGTACCTTCTATCATTGTTTTGATTTTTTTATTGCTTCTTTTACTGTTTTTATCTGCATGTTTTGTTTTTAATCCTACGTTAACAACTAGAATGATTTGCTTAAAATGGATGGCTATGTAAAGTTACTAAACAATTAAAAAAGCAAGCAAGCAAGCAAATAAATAAATAAATAACTGAAAAGTAAATTCTTTCCCAATTTTCAAGCATATTAGAAGTGTTGTAAGTTTTTTAAAAAAACACAAGTTCAAATATGTTATTCAATCTGAATTACTCACAGAAAATGTAGGACTTAAGTAGTCATGTCCAAGAAAGGCCCTGCAGTAATGGGAACATATTAGCAACTTATTCTTATGCATTGAGCATCTGAAAAGAGTTTGATTAATTAGGTCTTTGCATTTATATCCCATCATTTCTCCTCCAATTTTATCTGCACAACAATCAAATAGGACTAATTATTTGATAGGAAAACATACAAGTACAGCCATCTCTCTTTCATACACAGTCAGATGGACAGATAACTTCCCTCTCCTTTCAGAAGGAGCAGGGAAAAAGAGTAAGAGAAAAATGTCACAGAAATGGAGTAAGGCAGGGCTGTCAAACTCCAGGGCTGTGTGCCTGATGCGTCATGCGCTGGCCATGCCCACGCCTGGTTTAATGAAGGTGGGGAAAGTCCCAATAAGTCATGTGATACTGCCATGACAATGTGGTTTGACACTCCTGGAGTAAGATAAAAGAGCAACTATACTACAAAGACAAGGAAAAGGTAAACAGGGGAGAAAATGGACTGGAGATGAGAGGAAAGTAAATGATAACTAGACAAGGAAGAAAATAACCATTCGTGGTTAAGTGTAACCAAAGGGGAAGAATTCATCTATACCAAATAACAGAATAATAGAGTTGGAAGGGACCTTGGAGATCTTCTAGTCCAACCCCCTGCTCAAACAGACCCAGTAGAATTTCAGACAAATGATTGTCTAATCTCTTCTTAAAAACCTCCAGTGACGGAGCATTCACAAGTTCTGAAGGCAAGTCATTTTAGCAATTAATTATTCTCACAGTCAGAAAATTTCTCCTTATTTTAAATTGCTTCTCTCCTTGATTAGTTTCCATCCATTGTTTCTTATTCTGCTTTCAGGTGCTTTGGAGAATAGCTTGACCCCTCTTCTTTGTGGCAGCCTTAAATCCTGGAAAACTGCTATTACATCACCCCTAGTTCTTCTTTTCATTAAATTAGACATACCCAATTCCTGCAACCATTGTTCATACTGTATGTTTAGCCTCCAGTCTCCTAATTATTTTTGTTGCTCTTCTCTGCAGTCTTTCTAGAGTCTCAACATCTCTTTTATATCGTAGCGACCAAAACTGGATGTATTATTCTAAGTGTGGTCTTACTGTTCAAATCAAATTTTCAAGCCAACCTTCTAAGATACCCATACCTTGTAGTCTTGAAATATGCAGCTAGCCTCATCTAAACAGCTTCGTCTAAACAGCAAAAATCGGTTGACCATCACCAAATCTGATCATTATGATTTACAATAAATAAATAAATAAATAAATAAATGCAGCATTTCAATTTTATATATTTGATAACTGATTTTCACAAAACTGCAACAAAAATGTTCTTTTGGCTTACAATTGGAAGCAAACCAGGAGGTGAAAATAAGAATGGAATTATAAGACCAAATATAGTTTTTCTTTTTTTTTTCCTGTTTGCAGAACTGCATTGTAATGCATTCACTGAAGCATCATTACATTTGGTGCATTATAGAATCTTTATGCTAAAACCATTCTTGGAATAAAACACAGTAGTATTTTAAAACAGTGGGAGGTTAAAACCTTTTGCATTTTTTTCAACAGATGTTCTATGACTATCATTACTTTTATTTTTGTGCTAAAACTAAATCTCACTAATTAAAAGGAAATCTGTAATAAAGCATCTAAAACCACGTTTAAAAGAGTAAATCATATGGATATACACTTGAAGCTAAAAAATGATTATTGTTGGCTGAGTCTTTTGTTCATTGTAATCCAGATGTTTCTAAATTGAGATCTCTAAATAGCCAGTTTTCTAAACTTGTAGAAAATATGGCAGAATTGTTGGTGGAAATGTCTTCCAATTGTCTTCTTTTTCTTCTTTCTACCTCTGTGATTCTCACCAAGATTTATTTCTTCTTTGGCAATGTTATTTCAATAGATAACTTCTGGAATGGCAGATGTACAAATTGTCCACCATGATAGCATCTGCCAGTGGAGAGCATTTAAGTAACCTCCATACAACCATCTCATCTAAAAAAAATCCTAGACTGTTCAATTTATGCATTGAAAAACCATTCAATTAATATGCTGCTAGAATTCCATGCTCATTAAAAAAAATTCATACAATCAAAAGTAAAGTAGTTATTCCAACTATGATATAATCAGAAGTGCTTTGCTGATAATATTGTTTGGTAAAAGAGCTTGCAAACAATTACTGGTACCTATCAAACAAAAATATTTCCATGATTTAGAGTTAAAAGTTCAGAATTTATCCATTCAGAATTAACATTTTTAACTAGTTTGAAAACAAGATAATTCAGAACCCAAGCTTATACAATTCTTGTTAAGTTTATTTAATAAAATCAACTAATATTAAGTTTACTATGGTCTTCTGCATTGGGAAAAAAGATAGCATTTTTGTAAACAAACTGGTTTCAAACCAAGGAGAAATCAGAAAAATAATGCAATACAGTAGAAGCTCTGATCATGACCATAATTCGTTCCATAACTTTGGTCACAAACCAATTTGGTCGTGACCTGAACCTAATTTTGGAAATTTCACGCTTATAAAAAAATTGGCTTGGAAGGGGAAATCAGCCATGAAAAAAAAATTGCGAATTTTTTGGATGGAACCCAATTTGGTCATGGTCAGAAGCGCTCATGACCAGAGGTTCTACTGTAGATGGCATGCCACTAAAGGCTTAAGTTAGACAATGATTAACAAGCCCTACTAGTTTAACTTAAACAGTGTTACTCATACACACCTGTGCATATGTGCACAAAGAATGTGAGAAATAGCACTTTGTCTATTAAATGGCCAACAATTCTAATTCCTTTATTTCCCCTATAGATTTGTTACTTACATATCTTATTTATTTGCTTATGACATTCTATCTTAGCTTCACAACAATGCAGTGAGATAAGTTAATTAGGTAAGAGAGAGAGACCCTATCAAAACACCAGGAAACTGAATTGATATTTTATTTCCTGCATTACACAAGTTGTCTTCACTCATGCTGTCACTGAATTAAAGATAAGAACAAACACCAGGACTAGAAAACACTCTAGTTTACTATTGGGCACGGTGAACCCAATTTAGTTTGTTCGATTGCTTCAGCATAAAGAATTTTCTTGGCCTTCAAAAGGCATGATATTTTCTCAGAAAACCAGCTTCGTGTCCATTTGCTCTGGATCTTATGACTGATTGAAATTAATTATGAAAAGGTGCCCTTAACTTGAAAACAAATGAAAGAACCTTGGAACAAATACTATTTCATTCATATTTTTCCAAGAGTGGAATAATTGTTGAATCAAAATATAAAGAGAGGGGAGAGAGAGTGGTGACCAGTGGTGATTCTTAAGGGTTATGTATCTAAGTATATATGTACGATCCAGAGGTGGGTTTCAGCAGGTTCTGACCAGATCTGGAGAACCAGTAGCGAAAATTTTGAGTAGTTTGGAGAACTGGTAGTAAATATTATGACTGGCCCCGCCCCCATCTATCCTCTGCCTCCCAAGACCCTGCTGATCGGGAGGGAATGGGGATTTTGCGGTATCCTTCCCCTGTCACACCCACTAAGCCATGCCACACCCACCAAGCCACACCCACAGCCACAGTAAAAAAATTTGAAACCTACCACCGGTACGATCCCAAGATGATCTATCCCCTACTTGGCCTTCAGGTTCCAATAGTGCATCCATTGTGGTTACAATCAAATCCACCAACTTTGCTTCCCTCTTTCTTTCTTTCTTTCTTTCTTTCTTTCTTTCTTTCTTTCTTTCTTTCTATATGTTTTTATTGTTTACATATAAATATATTGAATACAGTGTAATTGTCCTGGCATTCCACTTGCCATGAAACAAAGGTAAAAACAAATAACATATATACTATTTTAAACAGTGCTATTGTTGTACATTTATTTTTGACCATCATATTCTAGATGTCAATTTATCTATAATTCTAATATCTATATTCTAATACCTACATAATATCTCTATGTCCACCTAACCTGATTCTTTCGCATTCCAATTTCTACCTCGTGTTTCTAACCATTTATAGAATCTATTCCATGTAGCATATTATCTCTTTTATCTTTTATTTTTAGCATTTCTGCACAGACTAGTATCTTCCTTATTGTCTCCTCCTCTAAGGAGATATTTTCACTCTTCCACTGCTGCACATACACAATTCTTGCTGCTGGCAAGATGTGTAATATTAGGTATATTATGCTTCCCTCTTTCTTTCTACTTCTCTCAGCTTCCCAGTAGAGTTGTATCTCTTTATCATAGTTCTTGACTTCTGGCCAGAAATGAGACTGAAAAATTCATCTTTAAGTGGTGCAGTCATCAAGTAAGGCATCACATGATATCTCCCGATTTCATCACATTTTGATGTGAATCACTGCAGTCATTAAATGAGAAATTACATGACCGTGACTTGTAAGAAGTCTATGAGGAAGGTTGCAAGTGGCAACCACATGACCCTTGGATGTTGCAACTGTTGTAAATGTGAGTCAGTTTCCAAATGTGCAGGTCATTATAATGAGATCACATGGATGGTGAGACAGTTTGTGGACCGATTATCTGTCCCTTCATTGCTGTTGTTACTTCACCCAGTTGTAAGACTTTATGTGAACTCCCTTCTTATAGAACGGCTGATCTTCCTTCTCTCACCCTTTTTCAAAAGTGTTTTGAGATCTTGTTAACTTGGAAGGTCTTTGGGGGCTAACTTGGCAGATGTCAATACTATGAATCTTGGAATATACAATATTCAATATACAATTATATAATATCATAACAATATAATTGTGATTAGTCTAGGATACGTTGTGTTATTAAATGGCGCACAAAATTGATTTCCCCCACCAATATGATTGTGCTGGTAAGGTTACGTTTTGGATTGCTCAGCATTTTCTTTATTAGAATTAGCACTATTGATTTTAGGCCAAATTTGTCAGAAGATAACCAGTTCCATGAATCAGTTTTAATAAAAAACCTAGACATTATTTCAGAGTGTTTTATATTAGCTTTATTATTTGTATTAAAATATATTTAGTTTTCCATTTTCTTTTCATGTTCATTTGTTTTTGACCTTTCTTTTAGATTTTTCTATTTATGTTTTTAAGGGCTTTTTAAAAAGATGTGTAATGTTATTTTTGTATTTTTTTAATGTTTTTTTTTTTTAAAAAAAATCCTCCTTATGGCTGGTCTTTAACCATAATGGAGGTTGATTTGATTTGAAATCTATCTTTGGCACACATGCCAAAAATATAATGAAAGTTTTAGGGCCTTGGTGTTTATTTTAAAGCAATAGCATTTACCTCATTGTGAAGTTATGTTCTCCTAGTTATAGTGGCACACAATACTTGAAATAAACTCCTGGTTTGTGTATCCAGAGTGTTTCTGCAAAACCTCTTCAGATGTCAAATAGAGGGAGCGCTCCATTTGTCGCAACAGCAGGAGATTGGAAACATTTATCTACTGACCAAATGCAAGTTTGGCTGCTTTCAGAATGTGTGATGAAAGCAAAACAGGGCATCTCTTGTGTATGAAGACCTGTTCTGACCTAGGCTTCCCAGAAGCATAAAGCCAACTTCTCGTCCCGATAAAACCCCTTTTATTTAGGTTAAAGGGAAATTCCTCTCCGGCAAAGTCCCGGCCAACAGACTTTCAAGAGATTTCACAACTACAGACCTTTATCAGGCTTGGAGAGCTGCAAAGCCGATTTCTTCCAAAGGCCACTCTGTAGCAGACAATACTTGGCAAGAAGTCAGGAACAAATCTTCACTCTAATGAATTGAACTAATTGTCTCCTGCAAAGTCTCCTCCCCTTTTGTTCCTCTTCATTCCCTATGGAAGAGGCCATTCACTGTCCACCTGTGGCTTTACTCCTGAGTTGACCCTTGTTCATTAGCTTTTCCCTTCTCCTGGCAGCTCTGCGCATGCGCACACTGCGAACAGGCCCCACTGATGTCCGACTCCGAAGGCAGCTGACAACTGTCAGACGGTCCTGGCCCCATCTCTGCCTCCGACACAGAGCACTCATCAGAGCCTTCCCCAGACTCCAGGACTGGCCCATGTTCCTCCCCAATCTCCTTACTGTCTGAGTCTGCCACCAGCTCTGCTGGCGGGGCACAACAAGACCATAGAAAAAGAAAACAGCTGAACTCTGTCGTAAACAAAAAAAGGGAACCAGTCTCCTTGGAACAATAGACCAGAATTTTTCCCTGGAGCTACATTCTTGCAGTGGAGAACTCTTTGTATGCACATTTTGATGACAACTTCATTATACTAAACAAAGGATTGGTAAATTGAATTTTGTAGGGGAGGAAGGTGAGCAACATCCTAATTAGAGTAAATAGTCAATTGTACTGATTTGAAGTCATCCCAATTGAATTGCTTAGAACTATGTGACTTCTTAAGCAATGCCTTTCAGAACTCAAGTGGAGAAAAATTGGTTATCAGAACAGCACCAACTTTCCTATAATGTGAGAACCATTGTGAATGTAGAAGAATTAACAACCTCACCACTGTTTAAAATCAAGGGAAAAAAAATATAATAAAGGTATAAAACCCTGTTTGAATTTGCAAGGCAGCTTTTCAGTCAGATCAATCATGGATAATAAATATGACATTACGATTTCTACAAAACCCACATAAACTCTTCCCAGTTTTGCAACCGTAACATTTAATCCCCAGCTGATTTTGTTTGTTCTGTGAAACAAGACACACCCCTGTAGAGATCAGTGTCAAGAAGAATGTCAGGTTTGTTTGATATTCCATGATAGAATTTCTACCTTGATGTACCAACAACCTGTCACACTGAAGAAGAGGAACACAGAATAGATTCCTTTATGTTGGATCAAGCTTCAGTCTAAATGTTTATCTGATCTTCAGTAACTAAACTGGGATGGACTTGGTTTGATGGGAGACTGCAGGAAGTCTGAGATATTGAAAAAGATCCCAGGAAAAAGGCAATAGTAAACACAGTCCATAATATCTCTAAGAAATAGGTTGTCACCAGGAGTCAAACTTGACTTGTGGGCCTCTTTAGCCTTTCCTGTATATACTTTACAAATTAAGAACTACATTTTTAAAAAAAAACAAATGCATATAATTGTATATTGGTCCAAGAAACATTAAAAGAAAGGTGAATTGCATAGATGCTTATTGATTGTTCTTGGTGAAAGAATAACATAAAGATTGAGAAATATATTTTTTTAAAAATACTGATTAATTGCATGGACTTGCCCAGTGGTGGGACTCAAGTAATTTAACAACCAGTTCTCTGCCCTAATGATTTCTTCCAACAACCAATTTGCAAAACTGCTCAGAAAGTTAACAACTGGTTCTCCCGAAGTGGTGCGAACTGGCTGAATCCCACCACTGGACTTGCCCAAAAAGTCATCTGGTTTAAGTTTGACACAAGGAACGTGTCAATGGAGATTCTCAGTCATTCGGGTCATGGTTGTCCCAAAGATACCTTTTCAAAAGGCAACTGGACTTTGTTTTTTTCTTGAAGACATTTCACTTCTCATCCAAGAAGCTTCTTCAGTTCTGACCTTCTTTAGTCAGAACTGAAGAAGCTTCTTGAATGAGAAGTGAAATGTCTTTAAGGAAAAACAAAGTCCAATTGCCTTTTGAAAAAGCACATTTGCGACACACGGAAAACTTTAACTTAACTGTACTACATGCAGTCTTTTTTTTTTAATTTTTAATTTTTAAACACGAACAAACATACAATGTAAATACATGTAAAAGCATGTACATATACATTAATACAATACACACACACAAAAAGGAAGTCTATAGACTAATTCCTAAGAAGCTATCGCATCGGTGGTTGTTTTCTAATTTACCTGTTATTTCTTTATTTAGAAGTTTGCATTTCTGCTTGTTTGTGCCTTAACGTAATTATGCATTTCTAAGCATAGCTTTCTGCAAATCGTACTAACCATTCGTAAATACCATCCTACTATTTTCCTCATGTGCCAATTTCTGTACTCTTATTTAAGTTTTCCTAACATCTTATTTTACTGGCCCTATCCTTCCCTCCAGCCATGAGTACCATCTTTGCCAAACTATATAGTAATCGGTATCTTCCTTCTCTTGGAGCTCTTTAGTGAGTCTATCCATTTCTGCACATTTGGTTATTTTTGCAATTATTTTTGCTTCTGTTGGTAGTAGTTCAGATTTGCAATTTTGGGCATACAATATGCGTGCCGCTGTCAAGATGTGGATGATAAGGTATTTTATCTCTTTAGTATATTGTGGTGTAGTCATTCCAAATAGAAAAAATTCTGGTTTCATTTTGACTTTTTGCTTAGTTATTTTTTCAATCATTCTCTTAATTTCTTGCCGGTAGTGTTGTGCCTTTCTACAAGACCACCAGAGATGGTAGTATGACCCCTTTTGCGACTTGCTTTTCCAACACATTGGTGATACTACATACAGTCTTTGTGACCATCATAATAATTTACATCATAAATATTTATATCATCATCATTTCATAATATCATCTAAGTTATTTCTCACAACATCAGCCCTACGTAACAGTAGAAACAAATTAGGAGTCAGTAGAGGCTGAGTTTCTGAATTAAGTTCAAAGATTTACCCACCCGACTTGTAGGGTGGGCAAGATTTGAGGCCCAAATCTTAATCTCAGTTTATAAATCCAAATCTCTGTGTCTCTTAATGATTATGATTGGAAACCAATAGATCTTTCTATTTCCTGTTTGGTAGGGGGAATGTAATTTTTTGAAACTGTAAACTTTTAGGGCAGGATGAAGTGTACCAAATTGCAGAGATATAGATATAAACAGTTTCATTCTATATGTCTTTTAACTGTTAGTGTTTTAGTTTATTTTTTTAAAAAAAACATTGCTGATTAAGTTTTTATTTCTAAGCAGAACTGAAATCCATTTTCATGAAAAGTTGACACATCTGGTACCTGCCAAGATTTGGATGAATATGTTCAGAAGAAGTGCAAGAACTTCTTTTGGAAGTTTCCAAAAATGTATCCCTTCCTTGTCCTTATGGTTTTGTGGCCCTTTGTCATGAAATATGACACCGACCCTCTTAAAATATCTGTAGAATTTCAGAAGCTTTTGAAAGAGAATCTACACATTTTAGTATGTATTCATTGAGAGGAATTTATTCAATCCTCCAACCCTTTGGGGGGAAAATTTAATATAATTTGGATTTCTGTCTTCTAGAACTATATTTGCACACCCCGATGAAAGCATTATCTAGAACCCCTAAGGTGCTTTTCAAAAGGCAACTGGACTTTATTGGTTTTTTCCCCCCCTTCAAAACATTCATTTCTCATCCAAGAATCTTCTTCAGTTCTGACTGAAGAAGGTCAGAAGTGAAGAAGCTTCTTGGATGAGAAATGAAACATTATCAAGAAAAACAAACAAGAAAGAAAGCCTAGTTTCTTTTGAAAAGCACAACCATGATCTGGATGATTGAAAATCTCCATAGACATTCTCTAGAACATTCAGTCACAGTACTACAATTGTTACCATAAATCCCCTACCTTTGGGGTGCCTTACATGGAGCATCCTGGGAGAAATCAACTATATTTACAGATTAGTAGATATTACCTCAGTGACTCTTAATTTCCAATTCACTCTTGAAGCTTTATAGGGTTCCAACTTAGATTTAGTCTTCTTCAGAGGAGCCTGTTTGATTTGGGTAGCTCCAAAAATTTCCTTGATTTGATTCCAGTTAAAATGTTTCATTACAATGCCAAAACATACCAATTAATTGATGCTTCCACATTTTCCTCAGTCTGCCTTGATTCCTAGAGGCATTGACCAGCAGAGAACCGTCCTCATATAAACTATTTCAATCTTCTTAAGAAACTCCATCTCTCTACTACAAGTAGGCTGTATACATGTGTTATCTTCTTCTGAACAATACTTGGAGGATAATAATCTGAAATTGCAATGAATTATATCAGAGGAAGGGCATTTTTCATCTGGCTGTTTCTTATGTATTTACATTGACAAATACCCATTTTGCCTCTGTGTTGTTAGTGTCAGCACTAAGAGGTAGATTGGACCAAGAAATGAACTCCATTTGATTTAGATTGGCTGGCATAATCTTTCAACTCTGTTTGTGCTCCCTCCTTCTTCTTTTATGAATGTGTGAATTAAGAAGCTGTCTGTTAGAAATGTTTGCACACATTCTACATCAGTGGGCCGCAGGCTGCCGATGGACCACAACAGCAGGAGGCTCTGCCCACCTGCCACGATGTCATCATGGGTGTTCTGCGCATGTGCACACTCCCGCTGCGAACCAGTAGTAAAGGTAAGTAGAACCCACCCCTATTCTACATGTCCATGTCCATGATTTAATCTATGCTTTCCTTTTCATCTCTTTGATAACAGTTTTCTCCTCTATTTCTAAATATCTTCCTCTTTATTTTCAATTATTGTACAAACCCTAATCTGAATGAAACTTTACTGCATTTTTAAATATTTTTTTAAAAAAAGATTCTTAATGCAGTATTTAAGATAGTCCTTCTCTTTAATGGATAGTTCAAAGGTATAAGAAATTACTTTTGAAGAAAAGAATCCTTTTCAAGGAAACTCATGAATCCCAATTTTTCTTATTTCCAAAAGCAACAACAACAAAAAAAGACTAAACACTTTATTGAAGTTCTGGTTTTAGAAACACTAAATTTGAAATATTTTGAGAAGAAGTTTAAGAACTTTTTTGATATTTAGATAATATCTTGTGAACATTACTATGCTTACAAATAATACACATTTTTAAAGGAGTGCACTAGAAGATTTACTCATAGTGTCCTGTTGTAATTTATTATATAATCAGAGCAAGTCAGAGTATGCTCAATTTCAGTTCTTTAGATTATTTTTGCAGTGACATACAAAGGCATCAGCTAACATTAGACACACTGATAGAGTAAATGTCTAATGTAATTGTTTGGTAGAGAAGGGTGAGTTTTGTTAGATGGCAAAGATGTTAGATGGGTGAGAAACAAAAGATTCAGATAAAAACCTTCAACCCATGTCAGGAATTTAATTTTGAAAGCTAGTGCTATTGCTAATAAAATTTATATCAATGGTTATAATTTCTCCCTCCCTCCCTCCCTCCCTCTCTCTTTCTCTCTCTCTCTCTGTTTGTACTATGCTTATACTCAATTTTAACTGATTTTGTGATTGTTTGGTGCCTAGAGTCACTTGTCTGAGATGGATGGCTATAGAAATTAAATATATATAACCAAAATAAAGAATAGGAACTATTAATACTTTGTTGACTCAATTATCCCTCCAACCATAAGTTCAGGATCCACAGAAGAGTTAGCTGTTGCAAAGAAAGAAATTTATTATTGTGAGGCTATTGTGTGTTTTATTTCTTTTTATTACACCTCTCTCCATTGCCTAATTGCCACATGATCTGCCTGCACTTCCCAGTCTGAAAATGCCTCATGGGATATGTTGTCTCCTAAATTCTTTCCTTCATCATTAATTTGATAGAGGAAATGTATCTACTTGATTGATTACTTTGCCCTGAGTTTTAGAATAGCCCGATGAACTCTTATTGGTCCCTTGTAACAAATATGAACGCAAGAATTCACATTTCTCCCACAATCTTTCAGTGAAATGGTTTTCTCTGTTGGTTTTTGCCTCAGTTTTTTTTTCTTACCAAATTATATAAGAATCTTCAACAAACAAAACTGCCCACAAATAGGATTGGTAGATTTTTCTTATTATCGTACTATAGAAAGCATCAAAGGAATGGGTGGCAGGGGAGAAAATGAGGGAATAGAAAGCAGAAACAATATTGCCAGACTACACTAATCAGAATGATTCATTCTTAACTTTGTGCTTGTTGATGGCTTTAGCAGCCATATTGTTTAATCAGGCAAGCAAGCAGTTATTTCTTCCTCTGGTTCTTCCACATTTTTAGTAGGTCACTTAACTTTTCTCTAATGTTGTTTCTTTGCATTGCCATTTTCTTACCCATTTTCTTTTCTCTTTGCATTCTGTTTCAAGAAACTGGGGAATTGTGAGGAAAACTTTTCCTAGTGTTTCCATTCTGTTATTTTATTTTGAGAAAAAGTTTAAAATCTTTCTGTTGCCTCTAAAAAGACGACAGAGCTGGAAGAGATCTGTCAAGTTACCTAGTTCAACTTCATGTGCAGGGCCAAAATCTGCTAAAACATTTCAGATAGATGCGTATCCAGCCTCTAATTCAGTGATGGAGAACCTTTTTGGCACCGAGTGCTGAAACTTGAACGCGCACACACCAGAGATGGGTTTCAGCAGGTTCTGACCGGTTCTGGAGAACCGGTAGCGGAAATTTTGAGTAAACACCAGTAAATACCACCTCTGACTGGCCCTGCCCCCATCTATTCTCTGCCTCCTGAGTCCCAGCTGATCGGGAGGAAATGGGGATTTTGCAGTAACCTTCCCCTGGAGTGGGGAGGGAATGGAGATTTTACAGTATCCTTTCCCTGCCATGCCTATCAAGCCACGCCCACCAAGCCACACCCACAGAACCAGTAGTAAAAAAATTTGAATCCCACCACTGGCACACACGCTGGAAACCCGAAGACCAGCTGGCCAGTGTGTATGCCCACACATGCTATAGGTTCGCCATCATGGCTCTAGTTTTACGACCTCTAGTGAAACCTCTCCATCTTCATTAGGCTTCATTATCATGTTATGAAACAGCTGATTCTTATTCCATTGGTTGAGAGTCTGTGTTGTCAGGACAAAATCACCTAGTATTTAATTTTAAACTACTTTCATATAATTCCAATTGGTTTTGGTTTTGCCCTCCAGAGTAAGAGAGAAGAAGTCAACTCCCTCCTGTGTCTAATAATTCTTTAGATATCAGAAAACTTTGATCAACTGTTTTTGTGGTATCTTCAGCAGAATAAACTTACCCTATTGTTTAAACCTTTCTGCATAGGATTTGATTTCCAGTCCCCTCAGCATTTGGGTAGCTTTCTTCTGAACTCAGTTCAGTGTGTCACTGCTTGTGTCGCTCAAATCGGTTTTAGGCAGGGGTGAAATCCAGCAGGTTCTGACAGGTTCTGGAGAACCAGTAGCAGAAATTTTGAGCAGTTCATAGAACTGGCAGCGGAAATTTTGAGTAGTTCAGAGAACCGGAAAATACCACATCTGGCTGGCCCCAGAGTGGGGTGGGAATGGAGATTTTGCAATATCCGTCCCCCCAGGAGTGGGGAGGGAATGAGGATTTTGCAGTATCCTTCCCTTGGAGTGGGGTGGGAATCGAGAACTTGCAGTATCCTTCCCCTGCCACGCCCATCAAGCCACACCCACCAAGCCACACCCACAGAACCGGTATTAAAAAAATTTGGATTTCACCACTGGTTTTAGACTCATCTTCAAGATGTGATCTGTTAGAACATCTTGAACATTGCTATATGTACTGTTGCTAGGTTTAGTCTCCGCCCTCTTATATTTATGTCTGTCCTTTTTTCTCACAAATCTTATACACTGTTCGAACTTGTGTATATATTTCTTAATCTTTTATTTCTTTTATAAAGTGGCAGTCTTTCCTTCTAGTTTCCCCTCCCCCCCGTTATCTGCAATTCTGATAATCATCTTTATCCAGATCATTAATAAAAATGTTGAAGAATACAGAGCCTCGGACAGTGTCCTGTGACACACCACTTATTATCACCATTCAAGATGATGTGGAACCATTTATGAGTATTCTCTGAGTGAGATCATCAAGCCAAATAGCAATCTGTATCATTGTTGTATCATCTAGCCTCTTTTTACCATTTTATTAATGATGTTATCATGAGATACTATGCTGAATGTTTTGATGAGGTCAAGCTACATTAGGTCCATTGTCATTGCCCAATCTATTAATTTAGTAGCATTTATTAACTAATGCATTTTTATCCAAATGCTAACAAACATGCTGTTTTATAATCAAATCACAGACTTTTCCCAGTATAGATGTCAAAATGACAAATCTATAACTTGCCAAGTCCTCTTCTCTCTCTCTTTCCTTCCTTCCTTCCTTCCTTCTCTTTCTTTCTTTCTTTCTTTCTTTCTTTCTTTCTTTCTTTCTTTCTTTCTTTCTTTCTTTCTTTCTAGATAGGGATAACATTTCATCTTACCCAGTTTCTAGGACCACACATATCTCCCGAAGCGCTGAATGAATACACTTAATAGTTCTGTGATCATCTCAGATAGTTCATTCAGTTCCTACAACACACTTTATCCAGCTGTGGAAACTTGAATTAATTGGATTTGTCTAAGTATTCTATAAAGTATGAGTAGGGAAGCAATGAGGCTGAAAATCAGTTGCTTTTTATCTAGAATCTGCTCTAGATCAGATCAGCAACCAGCATCACATTCAAACCATCAGATTTCCAATAGAACTGAGAAAAAGTTTTCAATTGTTCAGTAAATTATATAGAACATAGAGTGATAGAGTTGGAAGAGACCTTGGAGGTCTTCTAGTCCAACCCTCTGCTCAAGCAGGAGACACTATACAATTTCAGACAAATAGTTGTCCAGTCTCTTTGAAAGCCTCCAGTGTTGGAGGCAAGAAGTTGTTGGAGGCCACAACTTCTGAAGGCAAGTTGTTCCATTGGTTGATTGTTCTCACTGTTAGGAATTTTCTCCTTAGTTCTAGGTTCCTTCTCTCCTTGGTTACTTTCCATCCATTGTTTCTTGTCTTGCCTTTTAGTGCTTTGAAAAATAGTTTATCCCCTCGTCATTGTAGGAGCCCCTCAAATATTGGAACACTAGAATATCATTTTAGAGTCAGGAAATCCTGGTTCTTGGATTCACCCTCCCCCATAAACACATATGATTGGGATGAAATATTACAAACACTTTTTTTTAAAAAAAATTAATTTATATGCCGCCCTTCTCTGGAGACTCAGGGCATCTTACAATGCGTTAAGCAATAGCCTTCATACTTTTGTATATTTATACAAAGTCAGCTTATTGCCCCCACAAACTGGGTCCTCATTTTACCTACCTTAGAAAGGATGGAAGGCTGAGTCAACCTTGAGCCTGGTGAGATTCGAACATACAGTAATTGCAGACAGCTGGTGTTAATCACAATGCTTTTAGTCTGCTGAGCCACCAGGCCCTTTTTTGAGTTGTTGGCAGCCAGAAGGTATCTCACTCAGTTCTCAAAATCTGATTTTTAACAGAGTGAAAAGTTTGTTTCCAACTAATAAGATTTGGGTGTATTCCCCAGGCTGTTAGGTATATCTTCTTGCTTTATCTGCATCAGCATACAACCTAGAGGGTATCACAACAACCGAATCGTATCATTAAAGCCATTGTATTTTCCTCACAACAGAATGATAACAGAAAGTCCTTTGCTACACTGGAAGTCTTGATGATAACCTGTATTATCAAGAACAGAAACTTAAAAAAAGAGGAAGTTCTTAAAAAAAAGACTCTAAGGGAAAAGATCGTATCAAAATAGTTATTTTGCTCAATGCATGTCAAGCAGAAACAAAAATAAAAATTGGAGAGAGGATAACTCCAGCAATGTGATTTGACATCAAATATTACTTTATTGTTTACAGTTTGGGAAGGTAGTAAAGACCAACAATAGCAATACAGAAAATAGGGAAAAGTTTCCAAAGCATTAAAAATGGGGCCATTTAAATCCTCCCCTACCATTGGCCAGAAGGAAATCACTACAAGCAGTGGATTTTCAGTATCATGAAAAGGATGCCAATAAATTGTTATTTAATTAATAGACATGCATAGAAAAGTTTTTGCCAACATGAAAATAATTTGGATGACTTTGGTCTGAGTGCACCTTGATTTGAGAAATGTCACCTTTCCTCAGGAAGGAAGTACCTTAGATTAAGTCTGTGCACATCTAAGCATGCATGCTGTAATAAATAAAGTTGACAGTATTGGGAGTCCAGAACAGAAACATGATGTTATGCGCAAGAAGAAACATTATAGGTTATTTCAGTGAAAAGAATAAAGCTGAGAAAACAGAGTTCCTTTGATCAGGATATAAAAAATACACAGACTCAGCAGCTGACAGTAGACCTACTGCAAGAGATGTTGTAGAGCAGAGGTGTCAAACTCGATTTCATTGAGGGCTGCATCAGGGTTATGTTTTACTTCAGGGGGCCGGGTGGGCGTGGCCAGGGTGGCCATGGCCAGCTCAATGTCACTCATGTTGGGAGTGTCTGTGGCGGCCCAAGAGCACTGCCGTTTTTGCTAGCAGAGAGTTGCAGGAAGTGACCGTAGCCACAAATGGAGCTTGGGGGGACCCATGCAGCCCTCCTAAGCTATGTTTTCACTGGCAGAGGCACCATGGGCCGGTCCTTTGCTGTTTCCAGTGTGGCTCCGCAGGCCAGATCTAAGCACCCCGCAGGCTGGATCCAGTCTGGATCCAGCCTTGAGTTTGACACCCCTGTTGTAGGGGAAAGGATTAATCCAAATTAAATTTACTAAATACTATGAAAAAAAATTGGGTAGGTCAAGAAAGGGAAAGAGGAGATGGTCAAAGCATTGCCCAGATACATTCCAGGTTCTTTTTTCCACTCTTCACTTTAGGTTAGTGTACCCTTCATCTGTTCCTTTTTACTTCCCTTTTTTAAAATCCAATCTTTTCCTTGTTCCTGTTGTGCTTCTTAACATTAATATCCAGAGGAGGGAATCAAGTGGGCCCAGAGTGACACAAACAGCAACCCTTGTGTTGTGAACTCTCCCCTCCATTTTCTTTTTTTGGGAAAGTCATAACATTTCATGGATGCTCCAGAGAAGCAAGGCTTGCATGCAATGTTTGAACGCTCCTTTTGTCAGTTTGATAAAAGCACCGAGGGCCTGTGGACATCAGTATGTCTTAATAAACTAAATGTCATTCTAAATAGACATTAATTTTGTCAGGTTGTTCCTGAAGGATTGTAATGTGGTAACACAGCACAGATGACCTAGGCCTCTGCAGGCTGACTATAATTTCCTTGCTTAAATTGTCTTTGTGATTATTATTTTTTAGTCAGTATGAAATAAAGACATTCTCTTTTAGCTTTGTCCTGATATTCCTGAGAAAGGAAAGGAAAAACAGAATAATAGAATTAGAAGGGACTTTGGTGGTTTTATAGCAGGTTTCCTACCTGCTCAAGAAGGAGACCCTATACTATTTTATATAATGGTTGTCCAGGCCTTTCTTAAGGGCCTCCAGTGTTGTAGCATCCACAGCTTCTGAAGGCAAGCTGTTTCACTGGTTGATGGTTCTAACTGTCAGAAAATTTCTCCTTAGTTCTAGATTGAGAATAGAATGGCTCCCATTCTAGCCACTCTTCCAGAAGATGCTGAAGACATGGTTCTGCCAGCGGGTCTAGGGAACTCAGAGAGGAATGGAGCCCATTAAATGGCTACTGTGAAGTGCTGTCACCAGAGTGGGGGATGGGGGTGGTTTTAGTATATTAATTTTATTATATGACTCTACTTTTATTAGTTTTATTGTTTTTATATTTTGTAAGCCGCCTTGAGTTGCCATGTGCAAATAGGCAACAATTTAAATTCCCTAAAATAAATAAATTAATAAATAATAAATAATACCAGGTTAACTGGGAAGGAAGAAAAATCATTGGCCATGCCAGCACCCGCCACCCATGTGAATTTATTGAAGCCTGGTATTCTACCAAAGAAACAATTAACAAGCATATTGATATAAATCCAGCATATGAATATTTAAGATACCAGACCATTTGAACAACCAATCAACAAGAGAACCAATCAGCTGCTCAGAATTTAAATATAGCCCCAAACGAACAACCAATAACACGACCAACTGACCAAACTGGCACACAAGACATTTATAAGCTAAGGAGAATAAGGCAAGACAATCATGCTGATGATGTTACCTAGTCTGGTAACAAAATGTTCAGAAACTAATTTGAAACAAGCTTGGAAAGCAAACCACTGTCAAAATTTAAAACCCAAGCTACAAGTATTTTCTATTATTTCAATGCTTCTCTCTTTGTTCAGTTTCCATCCATTGCTTCTTGTCATGTGTTCTGGGGCTTTGGAAAATAGGTTGACACCGTCATCTTTCTGGCAGCCCCTCAAATATTGGAACAAATGTTGGAACTATATTGGAAAACTGCTATTTAGTATAGAAGGCGGTAGTGCCAATATCACTATTGTTGTTTAGATTTAGAGGCCACCCAACTTCTAAACAATTCCAAGACAAAGGAAACAATAAAAAGTAAATCTTAGGCATTCAGAACAATCATACTCCACATACTACAAAACACAATTGGCAAGGGTTCTACAAGCACCCAAAGATGTGAGAGAACAAGTTTTTAAGACTTCTAAAACATTGAGAGTGTGGGTGGGAGAAGACAGAGGAGCTCCTGAGATTTTTGTGTACAGCATATGTGTAAAAGTGTAAAGCAGTTCCAGATGTACTGTGTCACCAGGATTTGTTCTGATGAGGCAATCTGCTAAGGCAAGTGAGACCCTTTACAGCTTGTCATAATCTTGATCATCTCTTATAGAATAGTTAAATAACAAACTACTGACATATATACATTACAGAGTTGGAAGAAACCTTGTAGGTCTTCTAGTCCAACCTCCACCCAAGCAGGAGACCCTACACAATTTCTGACAAATGACACTCCAATCTCTTCCAGTGATCAAGCTCCCACAACTTCTGAAAACAAGCTGTTCCATTGGTTGATTGTTCTCACTGTCAGAAAATTACTCCTTATTTCTAGGATGAATCTTTCCTTGATCAGGTTCCATTCATTATTCCTTGTCTGGTCTTCGGGTCCTTTGGAAAATAACTGTGGCAGCCCCTCAAATATTGGAACTCTGCTATCATGTCTGCCCTGGTCCTTCTTTTCACTAGACTAGCCATGGCCAGTTCCTGCAGCCGTTCGTCGTATGTTTTAGCCTCCAGTCCCCTAATCATCTTGGTTGGTCTTCTCTGCACTTTTTACATTAGGTAAAGGAGTCCCTGTGGATTTTACTCTGCTAGTCTTGCGAAGTAAGGGGGCGGTGCTCATCTCCATTTCAAGATCATTGAGCCAGTGCTATCCAAATATGTTTCCATAGTCATGTGGCCAGCTTGATGTCACAGAGCACTGTTATCTTCTCGCCAAAGTGGTACCTCTTTATCTGCTTGCATTTGCATGCTTTCGAACTGGTAGATTGGAGGCAGCTGGAGCAAGAACAGGAACTAATCCTGTTGAAAGGTGCTCAGGTCTTTTATTTTTTTTAATTTTTTTTTAATTTTTTTTTAAAAAAAATTATTTGATTTATATGTCGCCCTTCTCCGGAGACTCAGGGCAGCTTACAATGCATTAAGCAATAGCCTTCATACTTTTGTATATTTATACAAAGTCAGCTTATTACCCCCACAAACTGGGTCCTCATTTCACCTACCTTAGAAAGGATGGAAGGCTGAGTCAACCTTGAGCCTTGGAGAGATTCGAACCAGCAGTAATTGCAGGCAGCTGTGTTAATAACAGGGTGCTTAGACCACTGTACTATCAAGGCTCTTGAACCTGTGTTGCCAGCTGGAAAGCTGACAAGCCCAGTATCTTAATCACTGAGCCACCACGTCACCAATATACATTAGGCAATATGGTATTTTTTCCTTCTGTAAAAATATTTCTTGGTTATTGGTCTGATAGTAAGAACTTTCCCTAAAAATATTACCATCAAAATTTCCAGGCTTACTGGCTTAATGATTTATAATATTTCTTTTGGGTCTCACAATCACTGCATTTACATCTCACATTTAAAAGCAATTGAATAGAACCCTGACTGGGTTAGCATATCAGGCGTATCAGCAGCATAAAGTTCAGAGTCACTTTGGATAGTGAGAAAGGTGGCATATAAACTAAATAAATAAATTAAAATGAGAAAGTACAGCTTCAGTAATTAAATTACAATGCCTGATGTCAAGATTTCAAAATTTGGAAGTTTTGTTTTCCTTGGATGATAAATGGCACTCTGGCTGGGAGTGGTAGCATACAGTAGTTGGATATATCTGGTGGGACACCAATTTAGTATAGAGTGTATTTTGCTACTTAATGACAAAATCCACATCTTCACTTTTTATGCTGCATTCATTTTCTGTGAAAACAGCCTGTTATGGGAAACAGGGGCAACGACTTTGACTAGAAATTTGAAAGAAATATGCCTTTGTTTTCTTTTTTAAAAGCAATTATTTATAATCATCATCATTATCGTCACCTTGTATGTCAATTGACTTTGAACAAGACTTTAAAAAATGCATTTTTTAAAAAAGTCATTTATCTATAAATGGACAGGTACCGGTAATTACTGAAGTTTCTCTTTTCTACAGATGGACAAGTAGTTACTGAAGTTACAATTATGTTCCATCTAGAGACATCAAATGCAACCCACATACAACAGTGTGAATTGGGGTCATTGGTAAATAAAAATACTAAAATACTAAGACAATGGCAAATAAGAATATGTACTGATCTAAGGCATATCTAATATGTATAGTATATATAAGTGTGTGTGTGTGTGAGAGAGAGAGAGAGTGTGTGTGTGTGTGTGTGTGTGTGTGTGTGTGTGTGTGTGAGAGAGAGAGAGAGAGAGAGAGAGAGAGAGAGAGAGAGAGAGAGAGAGAGAGAGAGAGAGAGAGAGAGAGAGAGAGTGAGTGCTGTGGCCTAGAGGTGGAGCTCTCAGCTCACAATCAGGAGGCTGTGAGTTCGATCCTAGGTAGAGACAGATATTTCTCTCTCTGGGCACACTGAGAATATATCTGCTGAACAAAACTCCTCATTGGCGACAGGAAGGGTATCCGGCCATTAAAATTCTCTCCTAGCTCCATTCAGTCACCCAGACTCCACCCTGTAAAGGATTATGGGGTCGTTAAATGAAGATGATGATTTAAGTGTGTGTATGTGTGTCATATGGAGACTATACAAACTATAGCAAAATCAAAGCAATTCTTGGGAAGAGTTAAATAAGGGAACTAAAATCAGCACTTTATTTGCAAAACTGTACAGTATTACTGTACGGCCTTTTCCTGACTACAAAGATGAAAGTTGTTTGTGCAGGATTAGAAGGATTAAGAAACAACAAAAATGCTATGGCATGAACAGGCTTATTCTTCAACAATTGGGGTCATAACCTTCTTGCATTATTTGGCTATAATAGTAAGCAAGTGTAAGCAGTCAGGAGTTTTATTATGTCTCCACATATAATAGAGTGCAAAACGATTTGACATAGGCAGAGCCTTTTTGAATGTTCAGCGCTCGAAACAAAATATACTTGTTCTGAGGTCCTCTCTTGTTCTTGGAACAGCCATGATTCCCCCCCCCAATTATTTTGAGTGTTCCAGCTGTTCTGAGTATTGGGATTGGATTGTTGCTTTGTGATTTATGGCTGGATTTTTCAAACATCTTTCTGGTCTCAAGTTAAAATTTTGCAGTGGATGGGGAAGTCAGTTGCAAGTACAGTACAGCAGTGTCCAAAATTGTGGAAACCTTTTGGGAAAAGTGTATTTTCTAGACCTAGCTAATTACACCACTTTTTTTTTTTTAAATAGTAGTACCATAAAATTATATATCAATGGAAAGATAGTTTAATCAAGAATGTAATGCAGTAACTTTTATGAAGGATTTGCTGTTAGAATATTTATTTTATTATTATTTATTTATTAATCAAATTTTTATACTGCCCTACTCCCGGAGGACTCAGGGCGGTGAACAGCCAAGATAAAATACAGATAATACAAATATTAAAAGTCCCTTAAAATTATTAAATATTTTGGTCGAAACACAGATTAAAACACCCAATTTATAAAATCAAACGAATTAAAAATTTAAAAGAGGAAAGTTAGGCCAGGCCAGCCTGCTGAAATAAAAAAGTTTTGAGAGCACGACGAAACGTGCGCAGGTCCGGGATCCTCCATATCTCCGGGGGGAGCTCATTCCAAATGGTAGGTGCCCCCACAGAGAAGGCTCTCCCCCTGGGGGCTGCCAGTTGACACTGTTTGGCTGACGGCACCTTGAGAAGCCCCTCTCTATGGGAGCGTACTGGTCGGTGAGAGGCTATTGGTAGCAGAAGGCGGTCTCGTAAATACCCCGGTCCGATGCCATGGAGCGCTCTAAAGGTGGTAACCAAAACCTTGAAGCGCACCCGGAAGACCACCGGGAGCCAGTGCAGCTCGAGCAGGAGGGGGATCACATGGGAGCGCCACGTCGCTCCCATAACGACCCGCGTGGCCGCGTTCTGGAC